ATTAATATAATTAATTATTAATAATAATAATAATAATAATAATAATATTTATTCGCCAAAATATATATATTCACTGCATGAGCTTATAGTACTGTGTACTCTGCTCATCTCAATTATCATAATAATAATAATAATAATAAAATGGGCAAATAAATATGAAAAAACCACAGAAGGTGGTGTGTGTGGTTTATATCTTAATAACTAACAATCAATCATATATGTGTATAACAATTATTGTTAAATCGAAAAGGTATTAATGTAATTGGAATTTTGTAGTTTTAGTTTTCTATATAATTATGTATAGTCATTCGCTGCACATTACTAACCCAGTCTTTCAATTTTCTTCTAAATTTTTTTCCAAAATTAAGTATCTTTATTTCGTATGGTACTACATTATATAATTTAGCTGCTAAGAATTTAAATGATTTTTTTAATAATGTTTTGTGTGGTCTTTGGATATTAGATGAGCCTATTCGAAATCGTGTGTTATGCTCGTGTTTATAGGATTTTTTCTTTTTATTACAATACTTGTGGTATAAGGTGGTGGCATGTAAGAAATAAAGTTGTCTTGTATCAAGTATCCCTGTTTCTTGATATAAGTTGTTCGTTGGATATAATCTTGGCTTATGGAAAATGGCTTTCAAAACAGTTTTTTTTTGCTATATTCAGGTCAGAAATATATGTCTTGCAGGCGGCACCCCAGGCTGTGATGCCGTATATTATGTGGGTTTCAACAAAGGCATGGTATAGGATTCGCAGATAACTTTCTGTAAGAATGTTAGCAAGCATTTTGAGTGTACAGGCAACATTTCTAATTTTTTTGATAACATATTTAATATGGTTATCCCACCTTAGATGTGAGTCTATAAATATTCCAAGATATTTCAAAGTGTTCGATTTTGGTATTTTGGCCATGATAATTAACGGAAATTTGTTCGAAGGTAGGTAAACATTTTGAATAGGATGTAAATGCAATAAATTTTGTTTTTTTGAAGTTAACTGTTAAAATTTTAGTATCAAACCAGTAAATGATCCTTATAAAATCCTGTTCAGCTATTTGCTTCAGTGTGCTCCAGTCATCAACTTTATATAATACGAGGATGTCATCTGCAAAACATATAATCTTTCCAAAACTGTTAATTTTGAATAAGTCATTTAAGTAGAGACTGAATAGAACTGTTCCTTGAGGCACACCACACTTGATGTACATTTTATGTATGCAGACAAGAAATATGTCATCGCTATTGGTACGCTTTGCATTCGTCTTTTGCTGTACTATTTCTTTGGGAAAAAATTCTACTCCATTCCATCTTAAAGTTCCTTTTCTCGATCCGGCCCTGATGTCTTCCGATGCGCTACGTACGGCAAGCGAAGAGACCTTTGAAATTTCGAAACAGCGAGGCAGAGACCGGCCGGAGATCGAGCGAGCCTGAAAACGGTCCCCCTGTACGGATCAGGTAACGCTCGAGGTACTCAATTTTCTCGTGCGAGCGAGGCCTGACCTTGCTTGAATTATAATGTTTCACCGTGGTGGGCAGAGGCATCTCTCCGAAATGGGCTCGAGATGCCGGCTGCCCTGTGTTTCGTTTGCAAGAAAAATCTTTAATTATCTTAATTCGTTCAGATAGAAAACAAAAACACACGAAAATATCACTATTTATTTCAATAAGTGTTCAAAATGTTGTACGTTGTTGGACAAACAGTGATATAGGAGATGTTCAAATTCCTGACTGGCATTTTCAAAAACATGTGACGTTGATGATGCGTTGACAAAGTTCATCCAAACTTTCAGGTTGAGGAGTGAACATAATAGATTTCAAATGGTCTCATAGAAAAAAGTCTAATGGCGTCAAATCAGGAGATCTAGCAGGCCATTCTATAGGCCCTCTTCGCCCTATTTATCTGTAAACTCGTCGTCTAGCGATTAAAAACGGAAGAACATAGTGAGGCGGGACCCCGTCTTGCTGGAAATATATTTCAGCCTCATCGATTTGGTTTTCAATGGTTTCAGTGATAAGCGAATTGATGGTATTTTACAAGCTATCCAAATAAATGTCTCCATTCGAATTTCCATCAATAAACAATGGCCCAATCACGTTGTTTCCTAAAATGCCTGCCCATACATTAATTTTGTATTGGTATGCCTTTCTACAAAAGCATGAGGATTTTCATTGCTCCAATACCTGCAGTTATGCTTATTAACAAATCCATTTAGATAAAATGAGCATTCATCACTGAAGGAGATCATTTGTTCACAAAACTCAAGTGGCCTATCGAAATCATCTTCGGTTAACTCTTGCAATATTTTCATTTTGAATGGACGAAATCTATGGAGTTTAGTAACTGTGTACGGAGCCTAATGAAATACTAGTCGCAGCAAAAGTTTGCGTAATGGAATACCTATTAGGATTTATTCGAAAAGACATAAAACTTCAACTGAGCGGTTCATCCAAAACTCTCCGACGATCACGTTTTTACAACAGATCCAGATTGAGTAAATTTAGTAACAAGGTGCGAAGTTATCTTCCCCGGATGTCTGAATCGATAAACTACAAATTTTAAATTAACATGTTGAACACTTATTGAAATAAAAGGTGACATTTTCGTATGTTTTTGTTTTCTATTTGAACCAATTAAGATAAATTAAGATTTTTCTAATTTTCTCGAAATCAAATCGACCGATTTTAAAGAATTGAACGTCAAAATAAGGGACATCGAAACACCTTTCAAACAAGCTATTACTCGATACGCCTTGTCATTTAAAATTTTCAAGGAAATGATCTGGGTGGGCGAGGATGAACGCGGATGAAGCAATTTTTGATTAAAAATTTGCCCCCTTTGACAATCTTTTGACGTGTTTTTTTTAATCGGTAGTTTTCGATAAATCCGTGGTGGGAGGTTCTCAAATGAACACGCTTGCACGTGTATCTACGCGGGAAAATGTCCTGATAGGCCCCTGGGCGAGAAGAATGTGTAACCCTGTCTAATACCTCAAATTTGCTATTCTTCTTCCCTATAGGGTTGTCCCATAGGGACGCAAGAAAGTAAACGTCAATTTGACATAGACGCCATCTTTGTTTTCTGTCACCGACATGTCATTTTGTTAGTTGAATGCTTACCATTGATCGCTATGGAATCGTATTCGATTGAAGACCGCATTAAACTTATTCAAGAGCACTACAAAAATGGTGCAAAAATAAAAACACGTTTCGCGCGCTTCGTGAACATTTCGGTCGCAACAACCGCCCAAACGAAACAACCATCGGTCGTCTGGTGCGTAAATTCGAGACAACAGTTTCTGTGGCAAACCTGCCAGGCTCTGGCCGGCCAAGGAGCGTTCGCAGACCGGAAAATATTGCTGTTGTGAAGGACAGTGTGAGAGACGATCCGAAACAATCGACAACGCGTCGATCCCAAGAATTGGGCATTTCGAGGACCAGTTTGCTCCGCATTCTCCACAAGGATTTGAATGTACACGCCTACAAGATCCAATTGACGCAAAGAGTTGCGTCTGGCCGACCATTTTCGCGCCGAACGTTCTCAGATTGGCTCCTTGAACACCGCAAATTGATGCCAATTTTTCACCAAAAATCATGTTCAGCGACGAAGCGCATTTCACTTTGAATGGGACGGTAAACAAGCAAAACTGCCGCATCTGGGCGAACGAAAATCCCCGTGAGTATCAAGAGCAGCCGATGCATCCTCAAAAAGTGACTGTGTGGTGTGCATTGTGGTCAAAAGGCATCATCGGACGTTACTTTTTCGAAATGTGGCCGGGACGCCGTTACCGTCAAATCTGAGCGATATCACGTGATGATAGAGGACTATTTTTTGCCGCAACTTGAAGGAATGGATATGGACGATGTTTATTTCCAACAAGACGGTGCAACATGCCACGCAACCAACGTCAATATCCATCGATTGCAGTCCTTCTTCGGTGATCGCGTGATTTCGCGCAGAGGAAATGTGCCATGGCCACCAAGATTTGATTCCCTTGGACTTCTTTTTATGGGGATATTTGAAAAGCAAAGTCTACGTTAACAAACCAGCCACCCTCCAAGAACTCAAAAACAACATCATTGCCGAGATAAATCCCATAGAACCGACCATGTTGCAAAACGTCATTGAAAATTTCGAGCATCGCGTGGACGTCTGTAAATCCAGTCGTGGTGAACATTTGAGCGATATTATTTTTCATACATAAATGGTATAAATGAACCTTCAAAATAAGTACCCAACTTGATTTGAATATCAATCTTTCTTGTTTTAATATGCGTTTACTTTCCTGCGTCCGCTTTGGACAACGCCATAGATCGTTTTTTCTTGTAATGCTTTCTCTACGAAAGGGTATCGGACATATTAAACTTATTATTTTTATTATAATCGTCTTCGAAGACGGTAATGTCAAAGCTGTTGTGCCGTAAACTCGGAGCGCTTTGACGGAATGATCACCAACTTCTTCGACGACGTTGGTCTGGTTCCAACAGCCAGGCAACGATGAACGGTATTCGCCCTGTCTTCCGTGGTCGCCTTATTTCCCGGTTTGGTTATGTTCATTGGCCTCCTGGATCCCCAGATTTATCCATCTGCGATTTTTTCCTGTGGGGACACCTCAAGGCTCGTGAATACGCCCAAGCTGAGAGACGATGTTGGAGACTTTCAAGAACGTCGTCAAAACGGTCACCATATGATTTTCCACACTCAATTTCATTGTGAACCCGAATCCGCCAAAAATTTGTTTTTCAGTAAAAATTACCTTCTGACCTTTGTGCCGGATCCTACATATGAAAAGTTCGCTCTCCGCAAGAGTAAAGTATATTCTGTGCTGTTACAAAAATAAAAATACCTCCAGAGTCTGCGGCATCCACCTCGACGTTGAGACAAACCAGATCAAACCTCAGACGGTACGGCGACGATGCGGTGTGATCCCCCGCCACTGACGTTACTATAGCAAACAGCCAACTTTTAAAAAGGTAAATGATCCAGCAGCGTCAATTGTCTGAAGTTCCTTCATGGTACCGCGGCCCAACGTCGCTTCATTCAGTCAGCTGAAAAAACCGAAGCTTCGGTGCGAGATCGCGCTTACTCTCCGGTTTGTCGGACTTTGTGACGGTCGTACTATCGTGTCTATCGTGTGTTTGAACGATTGTTTGTCCGCCAAAACATTTTCCATCTTGTGCGCGATGTAGTTTGCGTGGGCGATCGTCGCCGGGTACCGATTACGGGTACCACCCTCCCGGAATATCAATAAAAGTAGGTACAACTTGTCTTTTTCGCGTGTCTTTACGTAAATTCGTCAAATTCGGCGATTGTCACGTTGTTGTTGATTTATATTTTTGCGATTATGAACACAAATGCGCATGTAAGTACCACTTGCATTCCTGAGAGTTATGCAACACGCAATGCTCGGTGTCGTGTTTATAAACGTTCTAATTGTGGCTTTAAAGCGCTTGTAAACATTTTGAGAGGAGGCTGGATGCACTCACTTTCGTTGAGTTTTATAGTTATGACGGTTATAAGGCTTTATAGCTAATTACAGAGATGGACTTCGCTCATGAGTATGTGTTTTTAGACCGGAACGACTTGGGTGGCTTACGCTGATCATGTTGAAGAATACATGGTGTTCGAAAAATAGTCGGAGATATTTTAGAGGACGATTCCTCGTTAAAACACAATTTTTTGACGGGAAAAACGATGATTATTCAGAAAATTATCGATGTCAAGTTTGAATTTAGAAATTGTCGGCTATGTTGTACGTACAGCGACATTTAGACCTGCGTCTAATGAAAGCTTTAAAATAATCAAATAGCTGTCAATTTAATTTTGATTTGATTTAAAAATTGCGAACTTCGTTGTTGTTTTTAATACTATAAAGTAAAAAATGTCTGATTCTGAGTTTTCTTTGGCTCCATTAAATTACACACAGCTAATATTTATCATTAAATAACGTAGAAGTCCTAATGCTTGTACAGTTAACAACGTCATTAGAAACAACATTTTGTATGCCTACTGTTAATGAAGTACAAAGTATACGGTAATGATGTAATAAGCTTTCGTAACGATTTCCAAAAGTTCACTTTATACTTCGTGAGACGGTATTATGTTCCGAGATAAATTACAGACGTGTTTTACCTTACGGGGATGAGGAAATTTAGACATTGAAAATTCATAGCTATTACTGTAATACACAGGTCAGACAATGTAGTCTCACTAGACGTGGGAGTCGAGACTAATTAATATCGTGGAAAGCAATAATTGCATCACTATAGTCGGTAGTGGATCAACTTCACAGTTGTCTCGTTTTGGCGCTTTTTACTTCCTGCGCCACTGACGAAGAAGTATTGTAATAGGAAAAAATTTCGAAAATGAGGTGTTATTTATGATAAAATAATTCTTGCTCTTAGGTAAGTCTGTGATATATATTCACAACTTTCGCATAGGTTCAGATTGAGAAATAAAAGTTTGCTTGTATGTCTTCAAGACTACATATTTTTATACAAAATTTCACTACTATGAAATCTGGTTTTCCATGAGACTTTTTTTCAATTTCCCTTTGAACATTTTCAAAATGACACATCTTGATATCATTACTTAATTTATTAAATTCGTACAATCCCTTTTGAAATACTGACTTGCTCGTTATATTCCTACTGCAGTTTTGTAAATGAAAGTCTATACTTCCTCTAGTAGAATAATTGTGGCACTCATTGTTCAATACAATAAAATTTTCTAAGTCATTTAGTAGAAGATGATTTTTTAACTTAATATAAAAATGAAAACCAAGTAGGCTATGAAATTTTTGATATTTAACCATTGTAGTTCTTTCAACATAAAATTCATTCTAGTATATTTATTTTTATTTTGTAATATTTGTAATTTTGAAAATACAATTTCATTTGCAGTGAACAAAGTAGTCGAACAATGTAACAAATGAGGAAGAATGATAGTGTTGTACACAATTTTTTAGAATAAACGCTTAACGCGAAATTCTATGAAAGTAATTTATTTTCTTGGATATTTTTGAAATAATATATTCATAGTGCCCTTCAAATTTTATTTTACTGTCTACGTATATGCCCAAATATTTAAATGATTCGATTGACACAATTTTTTCATAGTAAGATTTATCGTATTTTGATTTAAAGATTTTCTTATTAGCATATATTTTGTTTTGTTTGTGTTTAGTTTAAGTTTGTTTACATTTAACCAATTTATTACGTTTTTCATATCATTATTTCAGCTCTATTGAAGTTTCAATGTCTTTATTTGATATATATATATATATATATGTATATATATAGGTGAAAAATTAAAGCTTCCGCCTTTTGTTGGGTACTTCGATAAAATTTAAGCAAGGAGGACCCTTCATACTTTTTTTATTCTCTCTTAGCTTTTAATGGTCTTTGCCATCATCATCAGGAGCTGCAATTACATTGATAACAGTAGCAACATATTGACTCTTCACAACCATAAATGGAATCTATTTCTTGGTCTATTCCACCAATAGACTTCATTCCATTCAAATTTTAATAACTTTTTCCTCACAATTAAATAATAACTGTTAATTTAATTGCCCATTAATAAAATATAGTCAATTCAACTGCCTCTGGTCGGTTTGACAATTTCTTACCAAACACATTTTGAAAATCACATCATCTGAAGTGATTTGGCAACGTAGCACACGCCCCCAAAAGAATTCGTTCCATCATTCTACACAGACACTGCAATCATCAAGTGGCTTCACGATGTAATGCTTTCATGTTCTAAAAATTTTTAATCTGTTTTTAACTTGTTCTTATCATACAGCTGTGTGTATTTTATATAATTTTGACCATTGTACCATTTATCCAGCTTTCACCATGTTACTGGGTGTTTCCCTCATCCTGAACGTAAACAACAATTAGCAACATCCTCACATACTACTGTAAGTTAAGTTAATTTAAATTCATTTTACACTATTGTTGCTACTGTTATCAATGTCATTGCAGCTCCTGATGATGATGGCAAAGTCCATTGAAAGCGAGAGAGAATAAAAAAAGTATAAAGAGTCCTACTATATATATATATATATTAATGTATCATCAGCAAATAGTTGAATTTTGCAGTGTTGTGAAATGTCAGGAATATCGCTAATATATAAAGTAAATAGTAATGGACCTAATTTTCTACTCTGTGGCACACCTACCGAAATCTTTGATAATATATTGCCAATTTTAATTCTTTGACTTCTATTGATTAAATCATTTTGTAATAAGTTCAATACTGAAGCTTGAAATCCATAGCATTGCGATTTCCTTAACAATTTCTCCCTGTCAATAGTCTCAAATGCTCTCTTGACATCTAAGAACAATGTTACTGTAAACTTTTTTTCATCCATATTTAAGTAAGAACCGTTTTCGGTCACATTGATTTGATCAGCATTTTTTGAAAAAATCGCTGTTGCATTTTAGATTGAATCGCTAATTTTCCATATAGTCGCGTCTGTCCTTTAACTTCGGCACCTAAAAATTCAATTACGTTCGAATATAGTATCTCTTAACCAACATACACTCGACAGTTATTTAGTAATATATCTCAACCAAAAATTAGAATAGTCGAAAAGGACATTCTAAGCTTGTTACCTTGGAATCTAGTTTTATGCAAGTCACTCCAAATTAATTTCAATTTTAAGCTCTTCGATGCGTGAGCTTCAAAAGTAAGACCAAGTTAGTCTGTAAGGAAAGTGAACGACCTTTGATAGAAATGATTTTAACATTTATAACAACGGCAGTGCATCATGAGAAATTACAGAGAACGGAATGATGGCAATCCTAAAGACAGTTATTTATTGTTCTTGTCGATGTTTTCCGTTGCTTCGCACTGTTGTTCTCAATTCATTTCTTTTTGAAATAACTTATCTATCTTCTCAACTGTTTATAATCCTGAAAAACAAAAATTCGCCGTTTTTGTTTTTAAAAAATATTCTTCGTTTAACTTAACAGTTAATATTCCACAGAAACTGCTTTCCAGTTGGTTACTGAGAATTGGAGAAGAGCCATAGACTCAGAAGAAGATATCATAGCAGTATTTTTTATATAAAATAATTGATAGATATAATTTTGTTAGGTAAATTGAAGGTATATTGTTTTAGACTGGTATACAAATTATTTGTCTAGAAGGTTACACAATGTCATCAAAAATTGAAAATACGTCAGGTGTTCCACAGGGCAGTATCCTTGGACCACTTATTTTTATTTTATACATAAACGATTTACCTGTCACTTTTTTTTATCTGTATGTGTATAGTTAATTGTATCATATGGGTGTTTCTCTACTAACTGGAAAGTTTCCCATACAAAAATGTCCCAACCATATTATTCTTATAAATTAAGAAAATATATAGGATAAATCAAGAGATACTAATTAAATTAATATGCCGGTTCAAAAGCCCATATACAATGCTATTTATTTTCGAATTATAAAATTATAAAAAATGACGACAGAGGACTGTTATCTCATCCAGGGGAACGTTTTAATTGAATGTAAGCAATCGAACTCTTTGTTTTTATTTATTTTAACTATACTAAGTGACATATAAATCCGAACACCCAGTTTAGATGGTTTTATTTTAATAAAATTTTGTATAAGTACTTAATGGAGCATAATAAGTAAATGATAAATATTTCAAAATGATTGCACTGCTTTAAAGCCCTTTGACCTTTAATAATGTGCGGATGCACCCTGATGTGCTACGCATTCTCCAACGCGCCTAGGCATGCTTCTGATCAGGTGGTCAATGTCCTCCTGTGGTATCTGATTCCATGCAACCACCAACTCCTCTTGAAGTACTTCTAGAGTCTGAGGAGGACGTTGCAAATTGAACAATCTCCTACCCATCATATCCCACACGTGCTCAATTGGGGATAAGTCGGGAGATCTTGGTGGCCATGGTAACAATGTGACATCACTATGTTGAAAGAAGTCTATTGTGACTCTTGCAACATGTGGTCGGGCATTATCTTATTGGAAAGTTGGATCTGCCAGGGTGTCAAGATAGGGTAAAAGATGGGGTTCTAGAACTTCGTGAATATAACGCTGCGCGTTCATGTTACCTCTGATGAAGATTAAAGGTGACCTGGAACCATAAGCTATAGCACCCCAAACTATAACTCCAACAGTGTGATGAACATGTCTTTCAACAAAAAACTGTGGATTCCTCCTTTCACCACGTCGCCTTCTAACCCTGGCACGACCATCGTGCATGCCTAAACAAA